CCCATTATGAACCCGGGTGTAGTTTTTATATATAGAAACAAAGTTCAGTCACTTTGACGCAATTTCTAGTTCTGCACCTCACTCATAATAGCTCAAGCTGGTGTCCAGAGACAAGCGCTTAGAAGCCGCTGTTCCTTCAGTGGCCTAGACTCCCTGCTTTTCTGTAGCTTCTTTTGAGTGGACCATTAGGGATTTACCCTTGTACCAAAAGTGAGCCTCACCATGTATATAGCTAGTTGTCCCCTGTCATAGTTACTTTCCTCATTCCTGGGACAAAACATCTGAGACTCACAAGTTAAAGGAGTGAGGGTATATTTTAGTCAATCCATCTTTCACGCCTAGAGCCATGCTAAACCAGTCATGATGAACCTCCAATACCACGCACTCACGATCCAGTGACTCCCCAAAGCCCCACGGAGGAGTGCGTGAAGCTTTGGATCGAGACATAAGCCATAACACCCCTCCACACCCACTGGCTCTTCATTCCTATCTCCCGTGACCCAGGGACGGAGCGGTGACTCCCCATTCATTGTGCCCCTTTCACAGGATCTATAATAATTATTATTGAACTCGGTTTCTATTGTAGGAGTGTGTTGAATTTGCACTTTCCATCTGATGATTTTGGGGCTGCCCAGGGATGCTGGGGAGAATATTATGTTGGTAGTCAGACAAGAGCCACATGGGATTTTGTCAGAATACACCGATTTGCCATGGGAAGAACCCCTGGACGGCGGGTCGGACGACTAGACATTACACCGTCCGCCAGGCGAAGGGGTATCTTGAAAGGCACAATGTAAGCACCATGTGCTGCTCCCTATTCTTTCTCATAAGTGCAGAGCTGGTACTGGAACCCCAGGTTAGTCAGGGAGGAGAGGGACTCTGACACTGATATTTCTGTCACGTGAGGACTCTTAGAAGTCAACTGGGCTAATTCACACACTGTAATTCACCAAACAGTTCTAAGGTAGAATTTTCTAATAAACTGTGGAGAGTACTTAATTAGTAATTAGAACATGATTATACCTTGTAAAAAACACATTTCTCTGATTATATTGATGTGACTATGCAATTACATTTCAAATTAATTTGAACAATGTTTAAAGCAGGAGTTCTAATTCTGTTCTAATCTGCCTGGTAACTTGGGGCCAGTCGCATGTCTTGCCCAGTATAACACATTGTTATTGGTGTTGGCCCAGTTTCTCAACTCTGTTCTGGTGTTCTTTGCAACACACAAAATGTCACTGAGGGCTTAATTTCATCATGCAATCTTAATATTGTACATAATTCATTCTTATTTATAGCTTGAGTTAAGATCTTTAATTTTTGCTGAAATCAAACAGCTTTCATATTTAAATATTTTATTAAAATCTCATATTATTAATATAATTATCATTTTGTATTTCAATGTTATCTAGTAATATCGAGTAATATTATTTACTGAGGACATACTGCAGTTAATTAAGAATGCTTCTAATGTACATCTACATTAATCAGACTAAGGAGAATTAAAGAGCAACATATAATATATTCATTGCTCTAATATGTAGAAATCTCAATGAATACAGCACCAGAGAGCTGATAGAGTGCGGTTTTGTTAAGGCCCAAATACTTATACCTTTGAGAGTGAATGAAGGTACAAACCAGATGCAAACATCGGGAAAATACGTTCAAACGAATATTGTCTAGGTCAACCTGGGTGTGTGGTGAGTCTTTTTAATTATGAATCTAAATATATGTGATAACTATTGTGCTGCATAGACTCACCTGTACCTAAATGAAAAACAGCCTCCATGCATTGCTGTGTACACTCAGTGGATATTTACATCGCTACTCTGTGCCAGGCACTTTAGGAGATGCACACACTGGGATTAATAATAAAACACAGCTTCACAGCTTGCAGAAATTGTCCTGTGAACATGGCAATTCCACGTCAGAGGAGAAGTGAAGGGGGAAGTGTAATCCTGAAAGGGCTATGTTCCTCTAGCTGCTATGACCCTGTTTCTGCCCCAGTCTTTGACCCTAATGCTTGAAACTGTAATACACTTCAAATTACTATCAATATAATATATTAATATCAACAGTCATTTATACTATAATCAATATAATATATAACATTATTTGTAATGTTACAAAGAATATTTATAATTAACACATATATTAATATAATTAAATCAAATTGGGGTTTGAATTAATTTATTTCTTAACATTGTGTGACTATCAGGAAAATGCTTTGGAATTTATTTATTAATTTCTTTATATAATTTTTATGAAATTATACTTTGGAAGTTCTTTTAGTTGGGATTTTCTAGTCTATTTAAAATTTTTTTCATTCATTAATTTTATTGGTACATTTTAGGTATACAATATGCTGACATTCATTATTGGGAATTTGTATCTTTACATAATATATCTTGGTTCTTGCTTTTTTCCCCGATTCCCCTGCTCTCCCCTCAACCTCTCCACCCCTCCTTATTTACAAAGACTTTGTTTCCATTTTTTCCTTTTCTCATATTTTTTCCTTTCCCTTCTTTCCTTTTCTCTACCCCTCCCGTTTCCCCTCCCCCTTTGGGCTTTTTTTCTTTCTATTTAACATTTTCTGTTATACATTTTGATCCTTATTTACACTTTCAATTTCTCACACTAGAGAAACAGTTTGGTATTTACATGCGTGTCCTATTTATTTCACTTAAGAGTATGGCCTCAATGTGCATCCATTTAGCTGTAAATGTCTCTAGTTTCTTGTTCTTTATGGCTGTGTAGTACTCCATTTTATAGAAAACCCACATTTTCTTTATTCTGTCTCCAGTTGATGGGCACAATTGGGCTGCTTCCAAATTTTAGCTGTTACAAACTGTGCTGTTCATTATTTTTTATTGACACGTTTCTATTACATAATGGTTGCATTTCTTGTGGGGAGTTGGTACAGGTACATAACACACATCAATTCTTTTTTCACGCATTTTCCTCCTCCCATTCTCTCCCCCCACCTCCCTTTTTTTTTGGAGTTATGTCTTGCTTTGTAGTTCAGACTGGACTTGAGCATAGACTGGACTGTGTAACCTGGTCGGGCCTCAGTTGTACTACATCAAGGCTTTTTTTTGGGACAGGGTTTTGCTATGTAGTTCAGGTTAACCTTGAACTCACTGTGCAGCCCATGCTGGACTTGAGCTCACAGCAATCACTTTGCTTCAGCCTCCCGAGTACTGATATTACAGACAGGCGCCACCATGCCTGGCCTACCTAGGATTTTCTTAGTTGGTAGATTTTTTTAGTACTGCTTCTGTTATGAATAACAAGGTTAAAACCATTCAAGGTTTTATTAATTCAAGGTTTTTATATCTTCTTGTTTAGTTTTGATAATTCATATGTATTTAGGAATCTATCCATTTTTCCTGAATTCTTTTCAGTTTATTGGCATAAAGTTTTGCAAAGTAGTTCCTGATAATCTCCTTGATTTTGGCAGGGTCCATTGTAATTTCACCTTTTTCATTTCTAATTACATTGATTCAATTTCTTTTTCTTTCTTTTTATTGAGTTTATTGGTACATTCTAGGTATACAGTACAGTTACATTCAATACTGGGATCTTGTACCTTACAGGTCTTGGTTCTCATTTTTTCCCTTTGTCCCTGCCCTCCCTTCACCCCCTCTTTCCCTCCCTATTTACAAACACTTTCAACACTTTCTTTCTCTCTCTCTCTCTCTCTCTCTCTCTCTCTCTCTCTCTCAGAATTGGCTAAGGGGTTGTCTATTTTGTTTATTCTTTTGAGAGACAGGTCTTTGATTCATTGATCCTTTATGTTGTTTTTTGGTCTCTGTTTCATTGATTTCTGCTGTGGTCTTTATAATTTCACTCCTTGTACTAGTTTTGGATTTGGATTGCTCTTGTTTTTCTAGGACTTTGGGGTGAATCATAAGGTTATTTACTTGGGCTTGTTCTTTTTTTCTGATGTGGAAATTCACTGCTATGAACTTCCTTCTTAAGACTGCTTTCTTTGTGTACCAAAAGTTGTAGTATATTGTACTGGCATTAGCACTTAATTCTAGGAACTAATTTCTTCCTTGATTTCTTCTGTGACCAATTGATTATTCAAGAGGGTATTATTTAATTTCCATGCATTTGCATAATTTCTGTGGTTTCTTTTGCTGCTGAGTTTTTGTTTCATTGCACTATAATCTGATAATATGCATGGAATAATTCCGGCCTTTTACATTTACTTAAGCATACTTTATTGGCTTGTATGTGATTGTGCTCTGAGAAGAATGTGAGTTCTGCTGGGTGGAGCACTGTAAATATCTATCAAGTCCATTTGTTTGTCAACTCTGATATTTCTTTGTTGATTTTTTTGTCTAGATGATCTTCCTATTTGTGACAGTGAGTTTTGAGGTGCCTCACTGTAATTGTATTAATGCTTACAGGCTTTTTTATGTCCAATAGTGTTTGTTTTATGAAGTTGGATGTGTCATTATTTGCTGTATGTTTGCTTATAATTGTTCTCTCTTCCTGTTGAATTGTTCTTTTAACTAATATGTAATGAACTTTTTTGCCTGTTTTGATGAGTTTTAGCTTTACATCCACTTTATCTGAGAATAGGATCTACTTCTTATTTTTTGGGTTTCCATTGCAGGAAATAAATCCTTTGATTTTTGGTCTGTGAGTTTCTTTTTGATTAAATGTGTTTCTTGTATATGGCATACTGATGGATTTTGTTTCTTAATCCACTCTACCAGTCGGTGTCTTTTGATTGGTGAATTGAGACTATTTGTATTGAGTTATTATTGAAAAGTATTGACTTGTTCTTGTTCTTGTATTATTTTCCTATTGCTGCTTTCCTTTCTTTCCCTTCTACTTAACTGGTCAATTTACCTGGCATATTCATTCTACAGCTTGGCATTGTTAACTTCATTTTCTCTTTCTAGAATTTTTTGAGTATTGGTTAGGTGGTCAAGAATTTCTTAGTTGAGCCGAGAAGGATGCTGGTGTTGAGGACAGTGACTACCATGAGTTTCAGTGCTTTGACAAAACCGCAGATGAGGGATGTTCTGGCCAGGTGTCTGTGGATTCATATTGTTGGAGCATTCATTGTCTCCCTGCGGGTTGCAGCTCTCTATAAGTCTGGTGTGGTTAAACCAAGAAAGAAGGCGTATGTAGGTTTCTACAGAAATTATGACTCCATGAAAGATTTGGAAGAAATGAGGAAGGCTGCTGTCTTTCAGAGTGCAAAGTGATATAGGAATAAAAAGGTTTCTTTGGATTGAGTTCCATAGACACTTGTCACTGATCGGTGTTCCTGAAATGTGAAACATTAATATGTGGAATAAAGAAAAGTTTTCATGACAAATAAACACCAGGGTGGACAGAAAAAAAAGAAGAATTTCTTAGTCTTGTTGCTCCATCAATTTTGAAAGATAGTTTTGCAGGGCATATCAGCCTGTGTTGAAAGTTTGTTTTTCTTGAAGCACTGATTCCCAGCTCTTATGTCCATTAAGGTTTGTGTTGAGAAGTTTGCTGTAGTTCTTCTGATTAAACACTCTTTGGCAATATGGTAGATGCTGTGCTGGATTTCTCCAACTCTAGGCTGCCATGAAGGAATCACTTTTGGAGTAACACTTCATACAATTTTTGTAGTTTACAATAGCTGTGAGCTTCTCTTGGAGCCAGTGCTGCTGGCTAGGTCTATATTTTCTCCCTGGACTTACCTTCTCTTCATGGGTGTTGGCCTTATCCATGATCAGGTCAGTTGGGTGACTCTGCTGGCCAGTGTTAAGGGGAAACAAAACATACAACTGGCTTGGAGTTGGTGGGTGAGATGATCAGGACACAGAATCTGCCTATATGTAATTGGTCAGGGTTAAATGCATGTGGGATGTGGTGGTTGCTGTGCCTTCCAGGCCACGCAGAGTGCAGTGGCTGATGCATTGTCCCTTGTTTTGTTTTTAAAAACGACTAAAATTCTTTATCCAGTCCAAATACGTACCAATTCATTTGAAGCTGTATTGTCCACTATAGTAACTTTATTTAAATTTGTTAATTAAATTAAATAAGAAGTTGAGTTCAGCTTCTAAGGTGCATTCGTTACATTTCAAGTGCTCCATAGCTATGTATAGCTAATGCATACTGTATTAACAACACAATCTTACACATTTATATAGGGTGGCATCAGTTTAAACATACCACATAACTGTAAACCATGTGGCTATAGTCATTTCCTCCCAGAGAAGTTCTGCCTTTAATACCAGAATACTTAGACCGTCAGATACTCTACAAGTCCGTTAAATGTCTCATTTTCTCATTCAATAGCTACTCATCAAGTTTCTACTACGTGGCCAGTCACAGGAATGATGAAAATAGAAAAAGAACAAGCATGCTATTCATATTTGACTCAAATATTTTAAGTATTATAGTTTTTGAGACTATGTGCCTTTTACATGACTGAACCTTCTAATTGGAAGGTAAATTAGTTTGGTGAGGTTCTTAACATAGTAAAATCTGGAAGCAACAAATATCCTATAAACTATGTGTGAGGAAAGTAAACACAAGAATCTGCCAATCAGTGGTCTCAGGAGCATTTCTATCATGCTTATTACTGATTTGCTTCTTTCAACCCCCACCTCCCCGCTTTTTTTTTTGGTACCAGGGATGGAAGTTGGGTCCTTGTGCTTGTCAGGCAGGTGGCGGCACCACTGAGCTAAATCCCTGGCCCACTTCTTTCATTTTCTGGAATGCTATAATTCTGGTAACATCAAAATGCAGAAGAGATGATTTGAAGGTTATTTAAGACAGCATATCCGAGTATAACCTTCAGATAAAATAAGTAGGCAGATCCAGAAAATTTATAAGAAGAGTATTTGAGAAACACAACAATTAACAAATTATAAGCAATATAAGGTAACATTTGCAAAAGCATAGTAAATTATGGTTTATGTGGGGCTTTTGAAATCAGTGATAAAGAAATATAATCACATGCAATTACCCTTTCAAGCTTTTCTTTTGACTTTTATATTCAATGTACTAAAAAGGCAAAACAAAACTTGACTCTATTTGAAGAGATAGGTGGTTTGATCCTGTAGTGGGAAGAGATTATGGTCCTAAAATAGCCTGCAGCATGGGGGATTTACCTAGGATTTAAGGGCATTAGTTCAGAAAGCTAGGGTTAAACAAGAGAATGAGTTACTTAGGGAGGGTTAACCTATTTCCTATTTCTCAAGGGCAGTTTGCCTAGAATTAGAGCAGAATGTACTGAAGGTTGTTTGGAAGGTGACTTGTGAAGGGAACAGGGTTTGATATGCTAGGTGTTTTTTTCTGATCTCCATGTGAGGTCAATATATGTACCTTAATTTAAAAATCTGTATGATCTCTTCTCAGAGCTAACGTATCCATGGTATTGATTTCCCATGTGTTCCCAAGTTGGTTTCCTGAGATACTGTCTTCTGTGAGTGGCCTTAGAGTTTTTCCTTGGCTGCTGAGGTTTGCAGCGATTTTCGTGTCATTAAATGCAACTGGCATCCTTTTGTGTATGTGGCAACCTGTATCTTCAAGCACCATTTAGTGCCTTTCCTCCCCCTGAAATATTTCCTCATCCTTAAAGCAGTCTCTTTTTCTGGGATCAATGGTACCCATCGAGACAACCTTGGCAATCCCCCTTTTTTTTATAATAGCCCAAGTAGGCATGGTTTTGTTGAGGGTGTCATGCTCCCCCCACACTTCCCTTCAGTACTGCTTGCTAGGTCCCCCTCCTAAGACTGGACTGGGACAACTTGCCTTGCTGTCCTCCTGGGTCACTTAGCGGCCACTCTGGTGGCCAGTACGATACCAGGTGTGATTCACCTGTCAACTGCGGCCCCAGTCCTCCAGCTCTCCTGCTCCAGACATATGAGGTGGCAGGGAAACCACTCTTAATGTGGCAACCATAAGAGTGTGATCAGGCCCATTATCACCACATCCAACTTCTCCAGAGCTGAGTAAACTGATGGACACAGCTAACCACTCTGAAGTTTCTGTGGTTTCAGCCCTGCCATTTTTCATGTTGGCAGCTATCAATTAAACAAGCTTCCTTGCTGCAATGACAGCCCCACATCTACTTGTATGAATGACTTGTAGCAATCAGCAGGCCAGAGTCTGAACGATTCACAGGCTTGCAGATGCTATAGAAGTAGTGCTGCACTCAAATGGATACATACTGAGGATATACTCCTAAGTAAAATAAATAAGTCACACAATGTAAATACTGAATAGTTTCTCTGGTGTGAATAAACTGTAATGATACATAAGATCCTAATGAGATAACTGACATTGTGAAATGGTAAGAAAAGGGCTAAAGGTATAGCGAAAGTGGGAAGGGTAGGGGAAAGGTAATAAGGGAAAAATATGATAAAATAGAAAAAAATGGAAATAAAGTGTTTGTAAATGGGGAGGGGATGAGGGAGTGAAGGGAGGGCAGGGACAAGGGGAAAAAATGAGAACCAAGACCACCTGTCATGTAGAGGTACAAGATCCCAATAATGAATGTAACTGTACTATATATGTAAAATCTACCAATAAACTCAATAAAAGAAAACAAAAGTACTGTACTCATACTTCTTGGGTTGGCCTAGGAGGGCTTCCTCTTGTATACTAACTTGTGCTTTTGCACAGGTCCTGTTACAATAAAGCCTTACTCTGGTGGTCTTATACATCTGCCTGAGATTTATTTCTATTGTAGTGCAGACTTGGAAGATCCTGTAAAATATCTCAGGATTCTGTAGTATGGATAGAGTGGTTGGTTCCAAAGAAAAAGCAATAAACACTTGGGAATGTTAACCTTGAAGAGACCCAGAGACCAGCAGCCAGCAAAGATCAGTGACAGAGAATATCATTTGGCAGAGTTAACCAATGGTGTGTGATATAAGCCAGCATCAGTGGCAGAGGCCAACAGCAGGCTGTGTTAACCAATGACATCTGGCATTTTCTGGCATTGTCTGGTGGCAGTGGAACCACTAACAGAGCTGCACCTGACTGATGCATGATTTCTGTGTGAATTGAGCAAAAGAACCTGCAAGTAATGGACAACACCACTATCTTGACACTGTCCCTCTTCATCACCCATGCTTGGAATCACAAATATCTTTGAATTACTCCCTCTTCTTTATTTCTTTTGCTATCAATTATAAGTTTATAAAATAATCCAGAATGTACCATTCTCCACTTACAACCTCTGATGACTTGTTCTTGCATTTAGAAAGAGATCTAACCATAACCTGTTCTATGAGCCCAGGTACACATACCTCCTACCAACTTTCCAACTTTTACTTTGTAGTTGTCATTTATTTATTTAATTTTTGTATTTATCCTATTATTATTCAGCACTTACATGTTGAGTCTGTTCTGGGATGTGAGGTTATAACAGCTGTTCCTCAGATGAAGGTCTATTATCCAGAATAGATAAAGAACTCAAAAAAAAAAATCAGACCCTCTCAAATATAAGGACCCAATTTAAAAATGGGCATCTAGGGCCAGGGATTTAGCTCAGTGGTTCTGCTGCCTGCCTTGCAAGTGCAAGGACTGGAGTTCAATCTCTGGTATCAAAAAAAAAGCAGCAAATAAATATATGAAAAATGTTCAATATCACTAGTCATTTGAGAGATGCAGATGAAAACAATGCTGAGATTCCACCTCACACCAGAAAGAATGGCTGCTTTCAAGAAATCAACCAATAACAAATGCTGGCAGGGCTGTGGGAAGAAAGGAACCCTTCTTCATTTTTTGGGGGAGTGCAAGCTGGTGCAACCATTGTGGAAATCAATATAGAGATACCTAAACAACTAGGATTAGAAGTCCCATTTGACCCAGCTACCCCTCTGCTGGGTATCTTCCCAAAAGAATTAAAAGAGTCCTATCACAGTGATATATGTACACCCATGTTTATAGCAACACAGTTTGTAATAGCTAAAACTTGGAAACAGCACAATTGCCCAACTGGAGACTGGATAAAGAAGATGTGTGTGTGTGTGTGTGTGTGTGTGTGTGTGTGTGTGTGTGTGTGTGCGTGCTTGTGCTCAGCTATAAAGAATGAGAAAGTACAGACATTTATAGCTAAGTGTAGGCACATTAAGGCACACTCGAGTGACAGTAATAGGACACATGTGTAAATACCGAATAGTTTCTCTGGTGTGAAAATCTAAAATTGTAAATAAGGATCCAAATGTATAATTGATATTGTGTAATAAAAAAAGGTTCTAAAGGAGCAGGG